TGGACCCATCATCCTTCCCTGCTTCTGATGGAGCTGCTTTCTGCAACTCCCATCTGCTTTTACTTACACACACATACACACACTTGCAGCTCAGTTTCCCAGAAGCCTTACTTGCTTTGCAGAAAGCTGAATTACACAAACACACACACACACACACAACACTTGCAGCTCAGTTTTCCAGAAGCCTTGCTTGCTTTGCAGAAAGCGTGGACCCATCATCCTTCCCTGCTCCTGACGCGCGCGCACGCACACACACACAAACAAACATATTTGCAGCTCAGTTGCTCAGTTCCTCTTATTCCTCCAGTATATCCAAATGTCCTGCCTGGGCAAATGCCTCTGTGATGTAAGGCCCATTGATTCAGCCTCCTTCTGACTCATGCCTGCTTTCATCCATCTCTGCCTGCAGCTCTTCTTGTTTGAAATGCTGCAGAGAGACTGGCCAATAGCCTCTTGCAGAGATCTGCACCTCGGAATCGCTATTGTCTAATCCATATCCGTGTTACCCAAATGTGCTGCCATTCACATTGAGTAAATCGATCTTGTCATTCTTTTTTATCTTATGGTTATTCATCCTCGGAGCTCCTTGCATCCAGTTCTCTCTGTCCTCTCTGCCCTTGTGTGTATTTAATTCTTTTTACACACACACAGAGCTTTCGGTTCCTCCTTCCATCTACTTCCGGTGCTGTGTATGGCGTCTCCATCAGTCTACATGACTCCTGCAACGTGTGTGTGTGTGTACACGTATGTATGTATGTATTTATGTTGCCTGGCATTACATTCACCCACACATGTTGTTTCTCAACACCTCTTTCAGGTTGTTTTGACATATGTATTTTAAACAATCTGAATTTTTCTGCTGCATAGATCTTGACATCTGTACAGCACTCTTCTTCCTGTGTTGTCGTGTGTTCACATTGATGTGTGCATAGATGAACGATTTAGCTTCGCATTAAACCAGTTGTTTTGCATTTCTCATTTTCTACAGCTGAATACCATTTTAAAAGTTGTAAAACTGAATCAAGCATCAAAACTGCTGTTGATTTCGGAACAAATGATTTAATGGGGTACTGGAGTCCTCACTGTGTTGAACCTGAAATTTTGGTCATGAATCGTGGTGCTTTAGCAGGTCATTCATTACGTGACTGGAGCTGACTTTATGACATTTTTTGTGGTAGCCATTAAGCGAATGCTGTATTATTAAGAATATCCATTTTAGCCAATGTGCGTTATTTGCTGAAAATAGGCAAAAAAAGTAAAAAAAATCACAGTCATATAACTGCAGTTCATTGCAAACAGCTTTAAACGTGAGTCAGTTGCCAAGCATCCAAAAAGCTGTGTGCGTGTTTGGCCATGGCCATGAAATGGTATTAGTAGCTTTTGTCCATTGTAACTTTGAAACAACCAGTGATAACTTGAGACTATCTCTATCATTTTGAACAAATATTTGTCCAGTTTCTTCTTGAAAATGCCAATGATAGAGCACCCACAATTTCTGGAGGTAATCAATGGAACAGCTTACTTCCAGAAATTGTGGGGGGTTTCATCACGGAGGTTTTCAAGAAGAGACTGGAGAGCCATTTGTCCAGAATGATATAGGGCAGTGGTGCCTAACCTTTTTGGGCTCCTGTGCCAAAAATTGCACGTTGCAAAAATTACATGCCAACACCCAGAATGCAATGCGCACCCCCCTTCCCCACGTCCCCTGCACATGCATGCGCAATCCCCAGTCCCACCCCCTTAACCTGCACTGCACCTCACAGCTGATTTTTCAGTTGGTTTGAGGTCTTTTTCGGCCCCCCCAGAGGCTTGGAAAAAGCCTCTGCAAGGCTTTTCAGGATGAATTATAGGCCTGTTTTGTCTCTTCTGGTATTAAAGGAAGTGATGAAACGGGCCTATAATTCAGCCTGAAATGCCTTGCAGAAGCTTTTTCCAAGCCTCTGGGAGGCCGAAAAAGGCCTCAAACCAACTGAAAAAAAATCAGCTATGAGGTGCACCATGCGCATGCGCAGTGAGGTAAGTTTGCCTGCAGCTTGTGTGCCAGCACAAATGGCTCTGCATGGCATGCGTGCCATAAATTCACCATCACAGATATAGGGCAGTGGTAGTTAACCTTTTCAGCACCAAGTGTCAAAATGGGAGTGCACCCACCAGAAACCAGAAGAGCAGCTCCCTGACACGCATATGGGAGAGCACCGGAAACCGGAAGCTTACCTTCCCGGCACACGTGTGTGTGCCAGCCGCCTAGTCGTCCAGTTTCTAATATGCATGCGCACGTGAAGACCAGCTGGACGGCGTGCATATGCTCTCCAGGAAGCTGTTCAGTTTCCAGTGCTTCCGCACACGCAAAGACCAACTGGCCAGCGCACATGCGTGCACTGGAACCCAGAAGAGCAACGGGTGACTGCAGGCATGCATGAAGAGATTGCTCTGCGTGCCACTTTTGGCATGGCATAGGTTATAGGGTCTTCTGCTTGAGCAAGGCGTTGGACTACAAGACCTTCAAGGTTTCTTCCAACCCTATTCTCTATTCCATGTTCTCTATAAAGGGTTTGTCTGGCAGAGTACTAAAAATGGCATTGCAATCTACTTTTTCAGGCTGAAAAGTCTTCTGCTTCTGTTTGCTTGCAACATATAAAATATTACTTCTGAGTGCAACTAGGAAGGGGAAAATCTGTGTTACTGTGTTTTGGAAAAGTTTTCAGTTTTTATTTTTTTTCTAGTGAAATGATATTCAGGCCTTTGAGCCTTAGGGAAGAATGGTGAGATAACATTAAATGATGTCCTTCTTGTTGGTTATTATCAATATTTTGATGAAGCTTCTTGGATGAGAAGCGAAATGTCTTCCTCAAAGAAAAAACACAGTCTAGTTGTGTTTTGAAAAAGCACCTTGGAGACAACACTGGCCTGGATGACTGAGAATCTGCAAGGTACAGGCTCCTTCATTGAAAACCCACTATAAAACCTGGCTTTATAACTTATACTATAAAGATAAGAACCAAGGTTAAATTCTGTGATAAAAAGATAGGGAAGACCCAACATTGCATAATTTCAATGTTTATCTCTTAAGGAATGCAAAACTGGTAAAAGTACTCTCACTTATCCAAACTTATGTATCCTAGGACAGGGGTCTCCCAACCTGTGGGCTGCGGCCCACTACTTGGCCACGCCATATTTCCAACCAGGTTGCATGAGTGGTGGGCTGGCATGCGCATGCAGCCCGACTCACATGGGCGGATGCTGTTCACAACCCCCATCATGCGAGCGAAGGGTGCCAGTGCTCGCAGCCCTGCTCCCACAAGCAGCAGGCGCTGGCACTCACAGCTCCACCCATGTGACCACCACTCACATAAATGAAGCTCTGTCTGCATGCATACCTGCCCCTCGCACAAAACCATAAGTTTAAATGAGTGCTTGGAATATACATTTGTTAACTTAAGATATAATCAGTTTTATAACAAGTATCTTTGGAAAGGACATTTCAGGAAAATTTAGAGGTTTTAGTTTTTATGATGAATTTCACTGCTGGTTAATTTATGTTTGAATTTGAATTGCAAATTTTATGCCATTATTAAGTATAGGCAGGTGGGATCTTGCTGAAAGGCCTAGGGCTGTGATGGCGAGCCTATGGCATGCGTGCCACAGGTGGCACGCAGAGCCATTTGTGCTGGCATGCGAGCTGCAGGCAAACTTAACTCACTGCGCATGCGTGCGCCTCACAGCTGATTTTCGGCTTCCCAGAGGCTTGAGGAAAGCCTTCGCAGGCCGAAAAATAGGCCTGTTTCATCACTTCCTGTATTTCCGGAAATACCGGAAGTGACAAAATGGGCCCATTTTTCCACCTGCAAAGCCTGCAGAAGCTTTCCTCAAGCCTCTAGGAGGCCGAAAAAGGCCTCAAACAGGCCGAAAATCAGCTGGCAGGCACAGTGCAGGTAAGGGGGTGGTGGTAGGGGGAGGATTGCGCATGCATACACATGGGACGGGGGGGCACACGCATTGTCTTCTGGGTGCTGGCACGTGAGCGCGCATGTGTAAGTGCACACACAATTTTTGGCACAGGAGCCCAAAAAGGTTAGCCACCACTGGTCTAGGAACATATATTGAGCTTGGCATTAATATATAGGACTGGACTTTTTAATTTTATTGATACCGTTTTCATTTTTGTTAGTCATTTTACTAGCAATAACACTCTTTTTTGTTGGAGATAGTTGACCAATTCTATTATCTGGCTTTAGAATATAAGTAGTCCTCGACTTACAACAACAGTTCATTTAGTGACTGTTCAAAATGACAATGGCACTGAAAAAAGTGACTTATGACCATTTTTCACACTTATGACCATTTCAGCATTCTCCCCCCCCCCATAGTCACATGATCACAAGTCAAGGACTACTATATAATTGCCCTGCTAATGATGGTATCCCCCCAACAGTGACACTTAAGAATAACTAGAAATTGCAACATAAGATTCTGCCCTGCTGCCTGAAAGTACATTATTCTTTTTCTTCTTTCTTTTTTTAAGTAATACTGGTAGACCTCGACTTACGACCACAATTTATTTATTTATTTATTTATTTGATTTGCCAATTGTTTACAAGATAATAAGTATAAGAGTATACATAGTTGTGAATACATGAAATGGGTACATATATGAAAAATAAAAGAATAAGAGAAACAATAGGACAGGGATGGTAGGCACGTTGGAGCCCAGAATTTATGTTGCTAAGCGAGAAATTTGTTAAGGGAGTTCTGACCCATTTTACAACTTTCCTTGCTACATTTGTTAAGTGGATCACTGCAGTTGTTACATTAATAACCTGGTTGTTAAGTGAATCTGGCTTTTCCCCATTGACTTGGCTGGGCAGAAGGTCGCAAAAGATGATCACATGACTCGTGCAACCATCATAAATATGAACCAGTTGCCAAGCATCTGAATGTTGATCACATGATTCAAGGGATGCTACAAAGGTTCTCGTTTCATAAACGTTCACCCCCATTTCAAGGTCTTATTTTTATAAAATTACAGGGACAGAGATCATGAATCTTTAAAAAAAAAAATCCCAATGCAAAATTAACTTTTAAACAAATGAAAGTTTAGAAGAGGTCTATGTTGAGTAAGTTTCCGGAATGCCAATCCACCACAGTTCCCACATTGTGCAAATCCTCTTTATTAAGAAGAGAAGTCCTCCTGCCTGAGAAGTTTCAGTACAGCCAAATCTCCCGGGAATGTAATTTAGCTATTTTTAATTTGTCAGCTGTCTCATATTTATTTTCTGCATTTTACTTAACATTTGCAAAAAAAGGAAATAATGTGGTGGGTGTATGTTCCATATGCCCTATGCTGAAAGTATCATACGAGAAAACATAAATATTATGTTAGCTAGTAAAAGAATAACACTGCATGCACTCATTTTACATTTTGGGAACATAGAACAATTTAATAAGCTTATTATACTAAGCATCAATGTTAAACTGATACGGTAGTGTCATAGCTGATAATCAAAATATTTTAGCTTTGATAATTGGTTTTCTAAAGAGCTTCAGAGGGAATTAAAATCAATTCTTAATCAGATTTTAGAAAAAACAAGATTAAATGGTCCCAGAACTATTGATTTTATGTTGTACCTTTAAGAGGTCAAAAGATCATGTGGCACGCAGAGCCATTTGTGCCAGCTACGTGACCTGCAGGCAAACTTACGTCACTACGCATACGTGTGCCTCACAGCTGATTTTTTTGGGGATGGTTTGAGGCCTTTTTCGGCCTCCCAGAGGCTTGAAAAAAGCCTCTGCAGGCTTTGCAGACCGAATAATAGGCCCGTTTCATCACTTCCTGTAATACTGTAATATCGGAAGTGACAAAACAGGCCTATTATTCGGCCTGCAGAGGCTTTTTTCAAGCCTCTGGGAAGCCGAAAATCAGCTGTGAGGTGCAGTGCAGGTAAGGGGACGGGGTGGTGGTGGTTTGCGTGTGCATGCGTAGGGGGTGTGTGGGGGATGGGCATTGCCTTCTGGGTACTGGCACACAAGTGCGTGTGTGCATACAATTTTTAGCATAGGAGCCCAAAAAGATTAGCCACCATTGTCATCTATGGTATGTTCTCCTCTTCCCCTTTTACTTTTTCACAGTTCTGTGCGGTTGTTTAGGCTCCCTCAAGGAGCTTCATGATTGAGTGAGTCTTAAATCAAATTTGGTATCACAGCGCAAAGAGTGAAGGTTAAGAAGATTTCTGTTGTTTTTTTTCAAAATATTATACAATATGCATTTGAACGTTTTATCTAATTTGAGTTAAGCAGAATCAGAATTATTTAACCTTGAAATGTTATTATATACCACTGTGCTGTTTCATATATGGTAGGTGGGATTGGACATATATTTTTCTCTCAACGTGCATAAGTTTATCCAGGATATGCAAAAAATCTTTAGGTTCTTGACAATCTAGAGTTAGCAGGGTATAATCAGTCACATAATGTGGGGGATACTGTAGGAGGAAGGCTGTATTAATCTGTGGTAGCAAAACATTAGGAATACCCTGGTAGCATTTTTTTTCCAACAACATGTTTTATTAAAAGGCATAAGCTTTTGTGAGCTGCAGCCTTTTAATAACATTTGATAGGTAGAAAAGTTGCTACCAGCCCTTCCTGGTCATGGAGAAGAATGCAACTCATACAAAAAGTATTGACATTTTGTTTTTCTAGTTTGGTTGACATCTATGTAATCCAACACAGGACAGGTAACAGTATCAGAAGTTACTAGAAGACCTCCAAGGTCCCTTCCAACTCTGTTATTCTGTTCCATTCCATTCCATTCTATTCTCTTTGCAAAGATGCCCAAAGGCTTCAACCTTATTTGTTTACCTCTAATTGCAGATATGAAAAGGTACCTGTAATCTTGGTTGGAAATAAAGTGGACTTGGAGAACGAGAGAGAAGTTTCATCCAGTGAAGGCAGAGCTCTGGCTGAAGAATGGGGTTGTCCTTTTATGGAGACATCTGCTAAAAGCAAAACCATGGTGGATGAGCTCTTTGCAGAGATTGTCAGACAAATGAACTACGCCTCTCAACCCGATAAAGATGACCCATGCTGTTCTGCATGTAATATACAATAGCATTCCAAGGATGGAATTGGACCTCATTTGCTGTATTTGGGTAAGGTGACAGAATAGACTATTTCACGCTGTGATTTAAAGTTGGTCAAAAATTCAAAGTGGAGTAGCACTGACCCTCCAAGTGAACATCGATCGATTGAATAAAATAATAATAATTGAGAAGCTTTATTTGCCTGCAGCACACCTTCTGCATGTTCTACTCTCTGGCTTAGCCAACAGATTACAGGGTGAGCACAATCCGTGCACATTGGCTTGTCAGGTAACAGCTACTGCTTTAAATTAAGAAAAGTTTTCGGTGAAAAGGAGCGCACCAGCAAAGACCTTTTGCACTCTGCCTATTCTGTACTGATAAGTGAAGATTTAACAAAAGGTATCTACTTATTGAATTTCAGGACTTTTATCACTTGTGGCCAAGTCAGTCAAATATGCTAATTTTATTTTTTGACGCAAGTGTTGATAAATTTATTGGCAAACTAATATATAATTCTGTTGTTTCCTTTACATTCATTCTTTTCTGTGATCCCATAATGCAAAAAGGAAAAATGCTCCATCAGTACTTGAACGGAAAGAGAGAAGCTCTGGGGGGAAAAAATCAACAGCTTGTAAAGAGAACACCGAAACATTAGAATATGCTAAATATTCTGCATTGTTGCTCAGAAAATGGTGGATTGCTTCAGCTGCTGTTCAGTCAAGATACCAAACCAGCCCTTGCTTTACCGAGCAGGAAATGCATCAATCTCTTTGCTGATCCAGGAAGAAGCAACCATGATGGGGTAAAAAAGAATTGTTTGGCCTTACTAATGAGGAACATTGCTAGCACATTAACAAGTACCACCTTGTAAGGAAAATGAAGCCATGTTGTATTCAGACGTTCCTTTTTGCAGAAACCTCACAGGGGCTGTAAAAGCATCCTATATTTTTTAGTTTAAGGATACCAGTTTATTTTTTTGCCTTTTAAGGGCTGTGTCTTGGATGTGATATACTAATTGAGCTATGGAATTTAATTTTGCCAATTTATCTCTTTACTGTTGGCGATTCTGGTTAACTGTGTAGAATTACTTTGTCTCAGAAGGTGAATACAAAATATTTTAATTCCATGTGGGAATGAGAAAAAAAGGATTTGTGTCTTCAATTGCCTAATATGCTAGTCAGGTGCTGCCATTAAAGTGATCCTGTTGCCCTGGTTATTGCTGTGACAAATAGTGAGTGAAAGCATTGTTTTAAAATGGTGGCTCAGCCTCTAATTTTAATTTAAATAGCAGTGAAATACTTAAAATTTGCATGACTTAACAGCACCAATTATATCTATTATGTCTTACAATCGAGGAAGTTTCCAATCAGAAAGTCAGAAGATTGAAATGGTGGAATGATAATGGACCTTGATGGATAAATTGGTCTTTAAAATACAGTATCACCGAGCCTATGGTCCAAATACTATCCTGAAAGATTGGGTTCTCAATCTTGTGAAGTAGTTCTGTAATTTCTTGTGTAGATGAGAGGAAAGGAATGTATGTTCTGTGTATGGGTGTGAGTGTGTTGGCGAGTGCAACTTTTTACAAATGCTGTAATGAACTTGAGTTCTGAGATTTTGCCTTGATCAGCAGAAAAACAAACTGCAATCTAAAGGGTATCAAAAGCAAATGAATTTTTAAAAGCCTTTTTTAAAAAAAACACTTGGCCACTTTATACCTTACACAGTAAGAACACATTTAATGTAGATTAGATCAATTTCTAACAATAATGATGGATGATTATTGGTTGTACTTGCCTTTGTTCTTGAATTATTTCTCCCTCATAATCAAGAAAGCAAAGAGTTGTCATTTAAACAGGAGGTCCTGTATTAGAAATGTAATTCCTTCCTAAACCTCATGCTCCGCTTTAAGAATTTCTGAACCTTAATGCAGCTTTTATTGGGCACCTCCATGTGTTAAGGTAAAAATTATGAATTACCATCTTTAAATTCTTCTAGAAGAAACATCAGAAAATAATTTCACTGATCAAATAAAAGTGGAATAAGCAGGTATAGAAGAGTGTTGAGTGCATCTTATACTGATTGATTCCAAAAAGAAATCCTGCATTGCATGTCAGATTATTTGATGTAAAAAGAACGAGGAGCATAAATGGCAGTTCTTTTATTTTTGTCAAGGCGTCATTTTAATAGGAAGCTTTGGGAGAAAAAAAAAAACCCCACAACTAGTTCGTAGTGCATAATCTTCACTTACAGACTAAACAATATACTTTCATACAAAAGTAGGTGATATGCTAATTCCAAGAAACAATTTAGATTCTGTCACTGAGTAATAGAGTATATTTGACCAAATTGATAGAAATCAGCAGTTATGCAGATGCCCTCTCTCCCATGTTGTGTGTGTGTAGACCAGGGGTAATCAACCTTTTTATACCTACCCCCCATTTTTGTACCTCTGTTAGTAGTAAAATTTTCTCTAACCGCCCACCGGTTCCACAGTAATGGTGATTTATAAAGTAGGGGACAAATCCCCTACCGCCCACCATGAAAGCTGGAACGCCCACTAGTGGGCGGTAGGGACCAGGTTGACTACCACTGGTGTAGACCCACAGAGTTAGTGGCAGCTAAAAGGGATCCCTAGTGCCAATGCAAGAAGTGTGTTTTCCTTTTGTCAATCCGTACCCTTCCCCATTTGTAACCGTGGGCAACTTTTGTCATTTTCTGGCCATTGCTACGTTTCTAAAGATGATCTTACCAATGGCTGTCCCAGAGCACAGATTTTAAAAACAAGATCAAAAGAGGCATATTTAATCTTGGCCACAAGGTCATTCTAACACCATATATGCCACTCTTCAAGCATACAGAAAGTAGCTTCCGTATGTATTGGTGACATTTCCCCATTCATCTGGTCAGCAATATTACATACCTTGGCACTGCTTGTTGAGAATAACTACCTGTATTGCATCCTAAGCAGATCCAGTAGACATAATTTGGGAAGGAGGCTAACATGCCTTAAAACATTACCAGTTCATCCAAAGACCCGATATTCTTTGCGTAGATCTTTGTATTTTTCTGCAGTGGTGAGTTCCTCTTTTCCTTTCAAACTGGTTAAACAACGCCAACTTCTGTTCAGAATGTTTCTGTAAGATGATTCAGCACACATGGACATATTGATAGCGGTTTCTGTGGACTTCCTCATCTGGTGATACCAACAATAAATACAGGGGGAGTCCTCGGTTTATGACTGTAATTGAGCCCACGTTTTTTGTTGCTTAAGCGAGACGTTAAGTGCATTTTGCCTTGGTTTAAAACTTTTCTTGCCACCGTTGTTAAGTGAATCATTGCAGTTGTTAAATTAATAACCCAGCTGTTCAATGAATCTGGCTTCCCCGTTGACTTTGCTTGTCAGAGAAGATGTTCACATGATATGGGGTGACCCTGCAACTGTCGTTAAGTATGAATCAGTTGGCAAGCATCCAAATCTTGGTCATTTGGGCATGAGGATGCTGTAATGGTCATAAGTGTGAAAAATGGTCCTAAGTCACTTTTTTTTCAGTGATGTAACTTCGAATAGTCACTAAATGAACTGTCGTAAGTTGAGGACTACATGTACCGTATATCCCTTTATTTAAAAATTGGCATATTTTTTTTTGTCAGCAAACATGCTAGTATTTTCTGTGTCTTATATGCCGCTTAAAGGTTTAGGGTGAGGCGACACATGGTCTTCAATACAACTGAAGTAACTCCACAATAAAGCAAATTTGGCAACTTCAGGATTTTATTGTGAACTTTTCCTTTCTGAGTTTTTGATCAGGTTTTAAAAAGGGATTGCAGTGTGTTTTTGCAAATTTAACCATTGACAATTTGTGATTTCTAGAGTTGAAATAAGCATCTTTAACAATTGACTGTGGACCTCTGTTACAACTGATAAATGGAAAAAAAAATATTACATTTTATAAGTTATCAGTTGTTTAAATCGAACTATTTCAAAATAAAACAAATTGTACATAGAACTCAATGCAAACTCAGCAGTTGTATCTGGAGTTAAATTATTTTAACAAATAAATTTATTTAATGAAATGCCTGTTGGATTGTCTTCTTGTCTTCCTTTTTGAGAATAAAGCAAAAAAAACCAACTACATTCTTCACATATTCCAAATTCAAATCTCCTTTGTTAGAATGTCTCTTTAAAAGGGAACATGTTTGTCATACATATTGTTGGTGAAGAAAGTTTGCCCTAATATCGATTCATTATTGCATTATCATGACAATAGTGCTAAAATCCGTCATTGTATGAATTACAGGTGGCAGTAAGTACTGTACTAGATAATTTTAGTTCTTAAATAATGCGAGTGCTCTGATGCCAAAGACTGCTGTGGGAACTGTATATTCCCCAGCTAAGGCTGCAAAGATTGACAAATGTAGCTAATTGTATGCAGCCATCAGCTGGTCTTACATTTGATAACTGACTCCATTCATTCATTCAGTCAACTTTGGCCCAAGTCCCTTTGGAAGGCTCTAAGTAGCTTTGCTTTCTTGTATTGATGTGTGTGTTGAAAACAAAAGTAGCTGTTTCGAGCACTAGAGACCAAATTTTCTTGTTTGTCCTCTCCCTCCCTCTTCACAAAAAAAAATTTACATCTCTATGAAGTTTTCAATAGTGCTGGTCTTTTAAAACCGTTTTTTTTCGTGTAGCAAATATTAAAGATGACCAAAAAAGAAGAAGAAAATAAATGAGTTGCTTAAACTTTACAGAATAAATGGCCAATTACACAATGAGTTCAACTTTTTCTTTCTTTTAGGCAATATAGAAGAATCCTAAAATTGAAGCACAGGTGTGTAAAAAGTTCCCATTTCTGTATTTGTATTTGTATACCTTGTTCCTTAGTTAAAAGTATAAGGATGGTACTGAAATATATGAACCAGATAGTGCCTATTCTCAGGCTTATATCTAACATGCATATTGGTGTTGGGGGACGGACGGACGACACCAAGCTTTAAGAACAGATTAACAGATTAAACACTTAACCACTGTACAACCATTGTCTGCAATGACTACCGTGATCGCCAAAATGCCAATATAACAAAAATTTTACCAAGTAGAAAATAAATGATACCCACACCAAGGATTTTGGGAAAAGGCACTCAGAAACAAGCACATTACATTATGCTGTAATTTTGGGTAAAGAGCCAGGTCTTCAGAGCTCTTCAAAATAACAGCAGAGTGGGGCCATCCGGATCTTGTGGGGTGGGGGCAGAATACCTCTTTCCAGAGGGCAGACACTGATAACAAGAAGGAAAACTTGGGGGGGTATCCTGAGATACGATCCCGTTGAAGGAATCTAAAGCATACCTGTTAGGATATGTGCAGAGTAACCCTTGTATAAAAAGAATATGCAAAGGGAACCGGTTTATGAGATCAGTTATGAATAAATGTACAGCCACACAGAGTTAAACAAGTGGTATTAATGTTTACTTGACGAAACTCCACCAAGACTCCAAGATCCCTCATAATCACTGCTAAAAGACTGGTTTCACCCAGTCTTTTATTTAAGTATTAAATGCACAAAATAATAAACAACTTTTTGGTATATATCTTTTTAGGTAATTAACGCAAAGAAGTGACATTGAGTTGGCCACGCCCACACAGTCACGTGACCACCTAGCCACGCCCAGCCAGCCAGTCATTAGGGCAGAGAGCCCCTTGCTAAAAAATGTGAAGCCCACCCCTGCCTGTGTCCCAGGGACAGGATGAAAAGAGAGGAGGTGGACCTGGAGAGTATATTAGAAGATATCCCAAGCTGTTGCATTATTGTTACAGTTATTGTTACTGCAAAATCAAGTTCTATAGCTCCTTTTTGCTCACAGCTCACAAAAGCTAGTCTCTTTTAAGAAACTATTAAGGGCCCACCCTTGGATTTCTGACTACCATAGACTTAACACAACTTTCCCACAGTTTGGTAACAGGTACTCATTAACTTACAACTGTTGTGGTTCACCAGCAGCCTGTGCAGACAGCAGCGGAATCGGACAGTGGGGAAGAACGGGGACCAGTCCGGGAGTCTGGAATGGACTCGGACGAGGATCCTGCGTCCGATGCAAAGATAGGGCCAGGACCATCTGGGAGTGGTATGCTGACTGGAGCCTCCAGAGTCTGGCAGCAGCGAGGCAGAGGAACAAGGTGATCCTGTTCCCAGTGCGCATGTGCGTAGAGCTGCTAAAAGGCAAGAGTAGCTGAGACAAAAGGGGCAACTTAGGAGTAAGGCTTGGAGGTGATTGCCCCTCCCCTAAGGTATAAAAGAGGTGCAAAGGTAGAGAAACCTTTGCAGGAAGAAAGTCGTCGTCTCTGAAGCTCTGTGTGGACTTTGTACTTCGGTTGGGTTTTTTTTTACAGTTAATTTGGCATTTTACTTGCAGCAATTCAAAGGAGATAAAGGTGGGTGCTTATCTCGAGGACTCATTACAGGCTGGGAATGAAAATAATTCCCAGCAGTTGAAATAAAACAAGGGTTGTTTAGATTAAGCATGTACTTAATTATGGTCCCAGGAAGCCTTGGTCTGAACAACAACCATTCGTTTAGTGACTTGTCAAAGTTACAACGGGATTGAAAAAAATGACTTAACGAGTTTGCAGCTTCCCCGTGGTCACCTAATTAAAATTCAGACACTTGGCAACTAGTTCATATTTTCTGATGGTTGCAGTGTCCTGGGGTCATGTGATCCCCTATTGCGACCTTCTGACAAGGTCGCAAATCTTATTTCTTTTACCATTCACAGCAGGATAGCCTGAATGGGGTAAGTAATTTTCAGAAATACCTGAGCAGTTGCAAAGTACCTTCTTGCCTCTCTAAATCCTGCCTAGGATTTCCTTCAATAAGCGTTACATTTCTTGCTCAGACCAGTACTTTATTTTAAATATGTACCGGTAGATAAACACCATTTGGTACAGCAGCCTATAACAGAAAGAACTGACTGTATTTTTCTTTACTGCAAGGGGAGATTTATTTTTGGTTGAGAGAAATCATTATTCTTCCATAGCAACCAAAATGGGATGTAACACCAGAAGTTGGTCTGATAAAAATATCTCTAGTCATCTGGGCCAATTCAGTTCCTAAAATTAAATTCATTGACATAATGTGTTTTAATTTTAACATTATTATAAAATATATATTTTTTAGAGTTGCATATGTCAAAAACAAATTACTGCAATTTATCTT